AACATACTAAAAAACAAAACCAAGACTATATTAACAAATGTGGTGTTTAGCACACAGACACAGCTGTACAGCAATTATAAGACCACTTACCATCAACATGAATACCCCGCAATCAATTCCTCCTAGCTGAAGAGGGGCACCCTGTTAATTATAGACAATATACAATTAGACCATATACAATTAGATCATATACAATAAATACATTAACATTACGTCCGGTGATTGTTTTTTGTTTTGTTTAAGGCTTTATGTTTGTTTAAGTGCACTTGATGAATGCACTCATAACATGATTTCGGAGCTCATGTAAATGGTTATACACCGATTTACAGTAGGCACAGTGGTATTTTTGGCAGCACACTGTGCATCTCTGGATAGACAGCAGGGGATCCTGTCCTCGCAAAAGTATTGTCTGATGCATCTGTGCAGGTTAAACAAATACTGAAATTAAATAAAATAAACACTATGAGTAAATAAAAACACTACACGTGCTCAAATATAGCAAGGGGGATGGGAAAATGCTAGCACTTATTAGCTATCGATAGTTACGCGAAAAAACTAACGTTACCGATTAATGTTTCAGGGGGTCAAAACATAACAATAACATTAATAGTCATGTCGAGACCGCGATAAATGTAAGATTTAGATTTTATATACATCTCAAAGTTCAGTTTATCTTTAAAGTACAGTTTTTTTTACCGTGCGATACAGGTTGTACATCAGTTCGAACGGACTCTACCTGCGTGCACGGCGGTGCATCTGGACCTGTTTTTATACAGTCTATGATCTGGACCAATGATGTCTCAAGCCCCGCCCACTAGATCCAGCGAGGGGGAGCTAGAGGTCTAGCCCCTCCCATTTGGCTCTGCAGCGAGCACCCTCTCGCTGCTGTCACCACCGTCGAGCTAGGTGGGCGTGGCTTCACCAACCTGCTCCCGCTTCTTTGACCATTTTCGATTATCTGGGAGTGACGCGCGGTGACGCGCTGCCAAGATGGCGACGGCCGCCTCCGCCCACTTTTGAGCTTTAAAAACGCTCTTCGGAAATCTACGGGTGACGTCACGGACACTACGTCCATGTTTTTATACAGTCTATGGTTTCATTCCTGAATAAATCAGTGTTTTTGAATGAATCAGTTTACTGCCACCTACTGGTGTAACGATGTAACCTGCTAAAAAGACACAAACCCTGCGTCCCAATGTGCATACTATCCACCCTATCTGCCCTAAATAGTTTTGAAAATTACTAACATAGAATTTAGGATGGATAGTATGCACATTGGGATGCAGGCAAACTATGACATTTTGGAATGCTGCACGACCAATCAAATTCAAGGACCTAAAATGAATTGGTCTGTTTGGCCAATCAGAATCAAGTATTACAGAAAGCCACGTAATAATGTCTCTCTATAATAAGTAAATGAACACTTTGAGTAATATAGCCTAATAAATTAAACATTTATCAGAGCGTGAAGCGTAAACAAAAAATGCTGCTGAAAACAGTTTATATGACTGAGGAAACATTCCGTTTTACAACAGAATTATGTTGCTATTTTATATCTCTTGCTAAAAATCACTTTATATGACTAAGAGGTGACAAATAAAAACAATTCAGTTCACAACACAGAATTATGGCACTGTTTCATATTATCTTCTTCTCAGTTGTCTTTAAGTTGTCCTTTGTTTGAAGTCCCCTCTTGCAGCAGGCCAGCAGCATACATCTGTAACACCATATTCAAAGCTCAGCTAAAAAGGAAATTGCTTTAATCCAAAATTGGGTTGAAGCAATTTCCCCGACCCCTTCCTTAAGCAGAGCCAGATACGGGGACCACCTCAGCAGAGGCTCATGCAGGGGATGAATAGCAGACCTCAGTGTCCTCGGGGCATGTTAACTCTCATTCCATATGCTGCCTAATTGGTTTAATTACTGTAATTATCTGCTGGGGTTCACATTGTGCAGGCAGGAACGATTAATGGCTTCAAGAACATATGCAGACAGGAGCTGAAGAGAAGGAAACTGCTGAAGAATGCCAGCAGAAAGAGGGTCGATAAAGTTTGAAAGGACTGTCATGGCCACTCAGGGACAAGGCAAAACAGATCTAATTGAAAGAATACTACAGAGAACCGAAAAATAGAGCTTGTGTTGTCGAGTGAGTAATTATGTGACCTATAAACGTACAAAAACACAGAGAAACTTCACAGGAAGCAATCATGCTAGTTTTGAGCCGTTTGCAGCTGTCTTCTTTAAAGCGTATCAGGGGAAACAAAGGGAAAAAGTTCATATTTCATTGTTAAGCTGTCAAGGTCTGAAAGAACCGTATTTAAGGCTTACTGATAGATGAGTTACAGCATAATTAACCAAACTACACTTCCCTGCACATTGTAAAAATGCAGATAAGATAAGCTGTGTTAAAGATAAACATAGGACACTTTCATCACAAAGCAGCATTTGTTTAGGCACTGTAACAAATGTATACATGTCACAACTGCTAAACAGTTAAATCTATTTCCACAGAGTTGTCATCAAAAACCCTAACATTTTCAGGGTAGAAGAAAAGTTTTGCCAAATACATGCACTGGGTGTCCTATAATATAATACACATTCAAAGGTGTTTTTAATTGAGCTGAGAACAAACATTGTGGCCTTTGTATATAACTAGGTTTGAAAAAACTTGTCAAATTCTTCCCAGTCCACATATGTTTTTACACATGTTACACATGTGTTTACACTGTGTGCTGAAAAATGTCTACATAAAAGCAAGTTGTTGTCACAAAGTAATGAAGGCGTACATAACTTAAACCAGTGGTTCTCAATTGGTGGGTCACAACCCAAAAATTTGGCCACTTGTCCTTTCTATAGGGTCATAGTTTGTAGGGGAAAAAAAACTACTCAAATAATAAAACAACATTATTGTGAATAATTAAAACAGCAACATAAACAGGCTTCTCAACCAGTATTTTGGAAAAAATGTAACTGTTTTACTAGTAAAATTAAGAAGATAGATGGTTGAGTGACAAGTTTTATGCTGACTACAATGTGTTTTGTGCGGTAAATTATTGGCTGCGCACTGCAGAAAACATGAAACCATCTGGATTAAAAAGACATTTAAAAACCAAGAACTGTCATTTTTCCAGTTCAGCTTATGTAATGGTAATAATTTTGCACATTGTTGGGTTTATGCAGTCCAATGTTAATACATTGTAATGTTTGATTTGAGAGCACTTTGTTCACTTTTGTGTTTTAGTTCCCCACCAATGCAAAATATTTGCCCTTAAACAACTTCGAGGACCATTTGGTTGAGCGTTAGTTACCAAAAACACCAAATATGAAGAGAAAACAGAGTTGGTGAGTATGTGGTAGCAAAGCCTAAAAACGTGGAAAAGGCATGAAGACAAACAGGATGACTTGAAAAGAAGAAAGAGAGTGAGGATAAGTGAGGAGAGAGTGAGAAACAGAGAGAAAACTGAGGGACGAAGACCAATATAGCCCCAAATTGGAGGATGTGTTTTTTGGTCAGAAACCCATCCCTAAAATTAGCCAGGGATGTAAATTCCACAACGCTTCTGGCTTTGTGTGTTCAGATGAAAAAGAGGGCGATGGAAAAGACAAGAAATAAATATAAAAGGGAAAACTCATACTTGAACTGTATAATGATGATTTTTACAGTGGGAGTTCTTTAAAGAGTGGGGAGTTTTCAAAGCCACTGTAAAGAAAGAGGAAACCTAAAAATGAAAGCCACAGGCCTCACACAGGACATTTCGCCATTAAGGTTAAACCATGTGTACAGCGGTTCTCACCTATGCTATTGTAGCCTGTAATTTTAGTTTAACGCACATGGGGAAAATGTCCCTCCCATAATCCACATTCTGAGACATTTCTGCTCATAGATAGGAATGGTCCTGTTTACATGCTTATGTAAATGTATACTTTAATTGGCATATGCTGGTTAGCGCTTTCAAAATGTCTTCCCCTCACTTTCACATCAACCTGACTGATTTTCACTTTCTTTTCACTGGTTTTCTCTTTGTATTTTCTTTAAGGTCAAAATTAATTGCTATTCACAACCCATTTACTTTCACAATATGATGTAGACCTATTTCCAAGTGAAATAGGACATTCGTTGAGTTAAAAAAAAAAGTTGGGAGTGCCTTGTTTTGTTCATTAGCATCGATGTCAGCGTCACTGCGTTGTAAATGTGAGATGCAAAACTTTGCACTGCAGTGTGTACTGAATTCAATAGACAAAAACGCGTAGGCTACGGCAAAATAATGACAAGCAGTCTTTATAATTGAGTTGTGTCGCAGACAGTTCATTAACGAACAAATTACTCGTTTGAGTCATATGAGTTCTTGTTTTAGTGAATGAAAAACAGACAGCGCGAGTAGTGCAGCCTGTTCCCAAACTAATTTCCCTTATAAACCGGTTGTTTAAATGAATGGTTCAAAAGACGAGTTCACTGAACTGAATCCCTCGGCGCGGTTAATGAATTAACATCTGACTTGCTAAACTGCAAGTCATTACTTTCAGTATGTCTGTATATAAATCTAAGTTTTGTGTATAATTCAATAGCCATGGCTACTATTGGGGGGAAAGGAAACTGTGTGGCCTAAGTGACGTCAGTGGAACATGAATGGTTCAGAGGTGAAAGCAAGTTAAAACTTTTTTTACTGATTCACGGGAGACAAGCACACACTGTTAAAAAATGCATTGGTAATTTTCTGCCAGGATATTATTTATTAATTTACCAATATTTCTGTTAACCTAATGCGTGTAATGGAGTGCAAAAATCAAAACACAGGTGAAACACCTGTAAAAATAAATCAACAAGGAATATTCCTACATATTAATACAGTACAATGTGCCCTATATTAAAACATTTTTTTTACAGCATACACACTGAAGCACATGAGATGAGGCACATATTGTGTAAAACTAAAATACATAATTCCAGGACACACGTGCAAGGGCATTTGAACAAAAGATGACGAAGCTACCTAGACAATGACAGACATGCAGACATAATGCAGGTCAAAGAAACGGATACGGGACATTTTGTTTCCCTGCTCTACCTGTCTGACTTCCATGATGGCATTTCATTCTTTAGCCAGCTTCCCCAGTCCGATTATTTTCGTATATAAATATTTACATTCCAACCATGACATTTTCCACCTTATCAAAAGGGTGCATTAGTGGCATTGTTGCCTGCATCACTCAACAGCAGCTGATAAATTCAATACTCTGGGCGCCTCTCTTAATTTGGGTTCAGTGAGGCTGCGGTTATGGACAGGAGGGGCTAAATTGAGAACAAAGTAAATTGTCCTGCACGGGTTATAAGGTTCAATGGTTTCTGTCATAGTTTACAGATGGACTGCAAACCGGCAACTAATTAAATAGGGACTGCTTTGACCAATTAGATAATGCAGTCATGCATCCTTGAGCTGTATTGACTTGCTCACTACGGCAGTGCTTAATGCATTACAATGAAGCTGTAATCAGAAGCAGCAACTTCATTTCTATTCTATTATGCCTTTTTATTGTTTAAGAAACAAGTAAAGAAATTGATGTGACATTGAAGACACAAAGATTTTATTGTGACTGAAAGACAAACTTCCATTACAAATAAATCCCAATTCAGTGTCATTAAAACAATAAATAAAGTAAAAAATAAATAGACTATTAAATAAAATACAAAACAATTGGCCCAATCAAACTGTATTTTGTTTGGAAATATGTATGTTTGTACTGAGCGTTTCAAATTTCAATGTTTAGAAAAAGGTCAGAACCAAGATGGGTGATCAAAAATGACAAATTCCCCTTTCCAAAGAAGTCCTGCAGTTTGCCAGTATCAACGTCCCACTTTAAAAAAAGACATGAAACACAGTATCAACTGCAAACAAACACTAAATATGTCATTTCTAAGTATGGAAGAACCCATCTGCATTCAACATCTAGAAATATCATTTCGCTCACTCTTTGTTCCCTTCGATCCTTAATGTCATCGCTGCCGTAACCTTTCATAACGATAAGGGATGAGACAGCTGTTGAGATTTCTGATTTAAGTGCTATTTCATGGCGGTGCCTCCTCTCTTCTTGTTTGCAGAGAAAACACAGGATTTAAGGAACGCCTCGCTGCTCCGTTTCATCTAAACCAGAAACTTTAAACTTGATGGTCCAAAGCATATAGCGCTGAGAGTGCAATTGTAAAGAAATGTCATCGTGCGAGACATCAAATCATGGCCAACTCGAGCATGATAGAAACCAGAGATCATTACAATCACCTTGATCTCAGCAGAACATGGTTAAGTCTTACGTTAAACCCATAACCGCCAGCTTTGAGTCCACGTTTCTGGTACAGAAAGACCTGTGGGTCTGGTTTTCTCTCGTATTGCTGAAAAGTACAGAGCAATACAGTGCCAACAGCATTGGAGGAGCAACATAAGATCTGAGCGTAGAGTGAGTGCTAACTAGTATTGATCGCTCTCCGGCGAAAATTATTAAGCATGCATATGAAACTAAACAAAAAATTTAAAAAACGATACCAAAGAATTGACTATATCTTCTCTAAAAAATAAACGTATGCGTATCGTAAAATATATATCTAATATACATGGTTTGATGCATACATCAATAGCTTTTTGATTGTTTTACACTTCCTCCATTTTTGATAAGTACACCACATGCTACTCGTCTCCACAGCGGTGAGAGTCCATCTCGCTGCACTGGAGGGTTATGGCCAGGTCAAGGGCTGTCCCTGCAGTCCAATCCCGAGGCAGCTGAGAGTTTATTCAGTCCACGGCCAAAGGGTTCAGTCCCTTCGGTGCATTTTAAAGACAGTTCACACTGCAAACACACTCAGGGTGCTCGTCTGGTCCTTAAGCCCCAAGATGCTGTAGGCAATCCTCTTCAGATGGCCCGGCAGACGGACGCCAATGTTACGAATATCCCTGGGAAACAGAAAAGAAAGAGTGTGTGAGAACTGGAGGGCAGGGTGATTAAGGTTTTGACATTTTTATTTAGTTTATATTTTTATTTATCATTCTGTCTTCTCAGTTTAATTTGTATTAGTTCTTACAGTTTTTGTTTCATTTTAGCCAAAGTTAATACACAAAATTGTATAATACAGCATGTACCCAAAACTAAAATGAATTTATGTCCATTTTCATTTTATTTTATTTTAGCTTGGGAGTCATTAATATGTATTTTAGTTTATTTTCAGTTTTGCCAAGTTTTTAATTATTTTTTTACCTTTATTTACCAGGAAAAGCACATTGAGATTAAAAATCTCGTTTACAAGAGCATCCTGGCCAAGATTGTCAGTTTATTTATTTACAAAATTTGTATTCTTTAGTTTCTCTTTTAATTTAGTCTTAGTTTTGATTTAGTTTTAGCAACGTTTTATAATATCCCATGCAAATGCTTTTTGAAGTTTTATAATATACCATTTAAAACTAAAACAACAATGAAGTTATGCCCATTTTCGTTTTATTTGAGTATTTGTTCAGGTTCAGTTTTGCCGAGTTATGTTTATGTTTAATTTTTGTTTTATTTTCAGTTTGTCTTTGCAGTTTAATTGTTTGTTAGGTTTTTTTTTTTTTTGAGGGGAGTGGAGTTTTTGTCAATTTTGGTTTGTCAGTTTTAGCCAAAGTTAATACACTCAATTTTATAATACAGCATGTATCTAAAACTAAAACATGGCATAAATTAATTTTAGATTATTTTGGTTTTGGACTCATGAAATGTATTTTAGTTTAGTTTCAGTCTTGCCAATATGTTTTATTTATTATTATTTCAGTTTATTGATTTATTTAGAAAATGTTTATTCTTTAGTTTCTGTTTAGTTTTCATAACTTATCACAGGTTTTTTTGTAGTCTTCATTTTTATTTTAGTTTTAGCAAAGTCATCATGCAAATCAAAGTTTTTTACTACAATGTAACTAATTTTCCATTTTCACTTCATTTTAATTAGTGTCTTTGGAGTCAAAAAATATATATTTAAAAAAATATATTTTTGGTTAGTTCCCCAGTTTTTATTTTTATTTGCTTTTAATAAATATATATATTTTTTTTTATTACATTTTATATCAAAGATATTTATTTCTTAGCCTTTGCTTTAGTTTTCATCAAAGATAATAACACGGTTGGAGGTTGCTTGAAAATTATACATAATCTTGTCTTTCAAAAAGTCATTTTGAGGAGGCGTTTGAAAGATAGCATGTTATCAGAGTCCAAATTACATTTTTAATTAGCGCCTTGATGATTTAACAAGGATTCCCTTCACCCGCCATGAATCAGAGCTGGCCGGCACAGGCAGCGGAGGACTTGTAAATAGTTTCTGGTTTTAAAGAGTGCTACCAGATGACACCAGATGGAACAGTCGGCCATAAAATAAAAGACAAACACATCAAAGACATTTCTGGTCCTCCACACAAAGTTCAGCGAGCTTCTAGGCTAAAAACACCCACGGGAGCAGAGCCAGAGGTCTTGGAGCTACGCTGTTACTACACTCCCAACCTCTTCATCAGTCAAACTGCCTCCTCTGTGAGGTCCAGCACTGTCGTCTTTACCTCCACATGTACACCAGCTCTCTCCTTCACCATCGCTACACTCTTTCATCTCATGTCCTGACTTTTAAGTCCAATCGTGTTGATGTGAGGGGGAGCAGCCGCATAGCCTCATGGCCCCAGCAGGCAGAAACGGTGGTTCCTGGCTACAGTGAAAGCACAGGCCTTGACTAGCGCTGTTGGGAATGGGAGGGATGAGAGAGTCTGCCGAAACAGTGGGAGGAAGGAAGGGATGGCAGAAGAGGAGAGGGGGAACAGCATGCCACAATTCACGCTGCCACAGTGTTTTCTGTTCAAACTTGAATCACCGAATAGCATTTTAAGGTGTTTGCTGAGATGCTGCTGAAAGGTTTTTACGTTTTTAAGTAAATTGTTACTGCTTGACTCGATTAAAAGTCTTAAGAAGGTTAAATCGTTATTACAATTTATGTGGGTGTCCGCGCTCGCCAGATACAGTAAATCAAAAATGGTCTGCGGTTGTGCGAGATTATCCTTGCAACCAAAGCATACATTTAAGCCACATTCAATTACCAGATCCCTAAAACAAAAACATGGAAAATATTTATATGTTCTAGGAATTATTAAAAGTTAAAAGATACCATCTTATTTAAATACGATCTTGTCCTGACCAATCAGCCTCAGTGTAGGCTGTAGGCCACAGGAAAGGAAGCTCTCCAAACACCCTGAAGTCCTTCCCAAATTCCCAGAACTCTCAAATTGTGTTCATCTGGGGCCTTTTTATTCAAAGGACTATTTACATAATGTCAGAATACTCATTTTGTATTATGTAAGAGGGAAAATTGAAGGAAGTTTACAAAATAGGATACTGTATGTCCAAACAGTGCCATTTTTAATGTGAAATTACAATTCTATAAAAGAGAAATTACTTTTTTTAAAAAGTGAGAATAGTGTAATGTATGTAAATAAGCTAAATAATTTTTTGAACAGTGGTAATAATAATAGCAATATTAATAATAATAATACATGCAAATATAAACTAAATTACATATTTGAATAGTGAGATCATAATAATAATAATAATAATTATTATTATTATTATTAATAAAAACATTACATGTTAACTATTTTGTTTTAATAATAATTTTCATTATTATTATTATTATTGTTTTTGTTCTTGTTATAATAATTTGTTCATAATTCATTACATTTATATAGCGCTTTTCTGGGTACTCAAAGCGCTTTACATGAAAGGGGGGAATCTCCTCATCCACCACCAGTTATAATATGTTATTGTTATTAAATAATAAGAAGAATAACAATAATAATAATAAAGATACACAATTTATATGTATTTTATTTTATTTATTTTCACTATAATAACTATTCTTTGAACTGTCATTTATCTGTACATGATGGAGACATTTCGTCAAAACAGCTCATTTATTTATAAATTAAATTATTAAGATGTTTAACAAAAAATAAGGACATTTGCAGTCTTTGTATGGCAGAAACACCATTTATGGGCAAACAGTCATGGTAACAGAACAAGTAAAAAACTTTTTATGACTCCAGTCTCTATATATTTAGAGACTAAATTTGAGTCTACAGTTTTAATCTACTGAAAACCCCAGTCATATCCGTTTATCTGGACACCAGGATATGACACAGCAAGTAAAGCAGAAATCAGTTCTGCAGAAATGGACTTTGGACAGTTGGCGTGATCTCATCTGATTGCTCACAGCCATTCTTCCCTTGTATAGCGTGCTAAAGGTCCAGAATGAGGGGAAATTTGTGTTACTCACTCGCTCTTCATCTGCAGCACCTGCTCCATGCTGACGATTCCGGCTATGCTGAAGTTTTCACTGTACTGGTTCATCTTGATGGACTCCAGCCACTCGGCCACAGACCTGAAGGGAGAGCCATCTGAGCCACTGGTGCTGGGAAGCCGAATGGAAACTCTGACAAAGACAGAACACAAATACATTCAACAAACCACACAGTGAGACCTTTTTTTGCCTTTCCCTTATTGTAATTATTGGGTGGGAAAGAGACACACTGCGAGAGGAAAACCTGTCTGTTCGGTTCGAGAATCTGATTAAGATACGAAACTGTCAGATTTCTCCCTCTTGCACGCCTACAATGTGATAAACATCTGAAGATGCCAAACCATTTAGCAGCACCACTGGTACGTGGTTGCATGTCTTATCTTTACCAAGGAATGACTTTGTTTGAACTGCGCAAAATTGTGTAATAGACGGTACATGCCTCAACTTCTCTCTGCCGTTCACGCCTTGTGAAGCTTTGTACGAGCCTTTTAAGAATTCAAAGTATGTGTTGAGCGCTTACCGAGGGTCAAAATCTGCAATGGCCTTCAGAGAATCTGGGCTCTTGAGGAGTTTGTCTAGTATGCTGACAATGTCGCCAAAGCGGGGCCGTTTGGAGCGATCTTGCAGCCAGCACTGTAACATCAGCTGATAGACCGCAGAGGGGCAGTCCATTGGAGCAGGAAGGCGGAAAGCCTCATTAATGGCCTTCATTACCTAGAGAGACAAAAGTAGTCAGATAAGACGGAAGATCCTTTGAGACAAACAGCAGAGTTATTGTTCATAGCCGACGTGGTGTGGCCAGTCCGTACCTCATGGTTACTCATGTCCCAATAGGGCCTCTCTCCAAAGGCCATGACCTCCCACATGACAATGCCAAAACTCCACACATCACTTGCTGACGTGAATTTCCTATAAGCTATGGCCTCCGGAGCAGTCCAACGAATCGGAATTTTACCTCCCTGTTGGGGAAAAAAAAACATATAAACAAGTGTCGGCAATCCCTTGTAATTTCCGAAAATCCTGAAATAATAACCAGGTTGTAGTGATGGTAAAATAAAGACATCTGGAGTTAAGAGCAGCTTGTAGCCACACATTTATTTGCTATGTGAACTTACGCTTGTGGTGTAGGTTCCTTCAGGGTCGTCCTCCAAAACACGTGACAAACCAAAGTCAGACACCTTGCACTCCAGGTTGCTGTTGACCAAGATGTTTCTGGCAGCCAGATCCCTGTGTACATAGCTCATGTCTAAGAGATATTTCATTCCGGCCGCAATGCCACGGAGCATACCAACCAACTGGAAGGATGACATGTCGCCATCATGGTCCTGTGAAGAAGTGAGAGTTTTATTTCTAGTTGTTCTTGTGAAAGGAAAACCACACAAGGGAATTCTTGAGTAAATTATTTGCTATGTTAAATCACTTTGAAGGTATGTCAGTATCATCTGTCATAATTGTTCTGCCTCAGTGATGAATTTGACAAACGTACCTTCAGGTATTTATCAAGAGCTCCATTTTCCATGTACTCAGTCACAATCATGGCATGCTTGACTGAAAACAAACAGACAAAGACACAAAGCGGCTTTACAAAACAAAGAGTAAAAACAAATATAAGCTCTCAGTAAATATTTTCAGAGGATAAAACTCAAGTAACAACAAAAACGTTTATTGATATTTATTTAATGCAACACTTTTACAGTACAATAAATTACTTTTTTTGTAACGCTATACACATACACACACATATATAGCATGTTTTTATTTAAAGAAACATATTTACAACTACAAATAATTTATTACTATAAATTTTCTATAATTATTTGCATATTTATACTATAAAATTTGAAAATAATAAAAGGTGTATAAAAAATAAAAAGTTTATAAAAAATAATGAAAAATATAATTAAAAAGTGTATATATATATATATATGCACTTTTTATATATACTTATATATTAATATTTTATTCCTTCATTTCTTGAATTAAAAAATATGTACCATGTTTTTATTCAAAT